ATCAGCGCGTGATAGTGACAACAGGAGCAAAGTGACTACACAACATAAATCAAAGAGTAAGGACGGTGGGGGGTAGGACGATGACTGTGGTCCTATGGAGTCACGTACGAGACAGAAAAGGCGTTCGAAACACTATGAAGATGAGAGAAGGGCTAGATTGCTCAGACGACTGACTGCATCGCGTTGAGATTTTGTCGAAAGCGCGACGAGCCGGCTAGCTAGCATACTGGCTGCTAGCGCGGCTGTCCCTCTCGTGTCCGCTGCGAGCATGCTGAGACCGACGGTTGTCGTTGCCGAAGGGATCAGCTTGGCCGCTCAAGAGGTCTTCGCCATGCTGGGCATACTCGTCGATAGATTCAGCATCGTGGTCGACGACGACGACCGAGGGAGGTGCAGACCTCTCGCCGATCGAATCCTTCTCAAATTTGACCTTGGTATTGCGTCGAGGTGGGTCTTCGACTGCATGCTTGAGCTGTGGCTGCGTATCAGATCCAACAGAGTCTCTGAACGGTCCACTGTCAATGTCCGAGGTGGCGTCGTGGAAAGGATCAGAGCCGGTCGAGTAGCGTGCAACACGGATTCCTCTTTGCAGCTCCTCGTAGGGAGAAAAGGACTTGGAGGCGCTCACAGCTGCACCGGCAGCATCCATACCAGGCTGGCGCGATTGGTAGCCGTTGTTCTTGGTGACACTTCCGTCGTAGTACATGTACTCTGTGCGGTTAGTGGAAGAAGCCTGCTTGCGGTGGCGAGCTCTGAACTCTTCGCGAGATATGTAGCGCGCAACACCGCCAACGGAAGAGAGAGAAGCATGCTGAGAGGACGTGGTCTGACTGCTGCGGTCTGCGCTGTAGTTAGAATGAGACGCCGCCGAGGACGTCTTCGCTCCAAATGTGCCGGCAGCCGCTGTGCCGTTGCCGTGGCCTGCAAGGTTGTCTTCCATCTCCTGCATGTAGTGATTGAGACCAACACTGTGAGCGTGGGAAGTCTCGGCCTCAGAATTGATGGACATGTGAGTTTCGCGTGATTCTGCCGTCTGGTACGCGTCCGTCCCGCTCATGCGAGAGCCGGCTTGTGCCGAAGGGAGATTGTAGAATTTGGCTGCCGCGTTGTTAGAAATGCCGGCTGCCATAGCGGGAGGTGAAATTGATCGGACCTCATCCGAGTACGAAGGGGCCATGCTCAGACGCGCGTGATGACGCTCCCTCATGTGAGGCTCTTCGGCCTCGTCGTGGAAGGGGTCTTGAGCAGCATTGTCATCCGTGCCATCCGCTGCACCGTAGTAAGTCGTTGTGGGTCGTCTGAGCCAGCTTTCTCCGCTGAGACCCTTGGCGTTGCGGCTTCCAGCGATGGTGTAGCCTGGATAGTGACTAGCTCTACGCTCCTTGACCGCACTTCGGCGTCTACGCATCACGATGAAAACTAGAAGAGCACCCGCAATGAGGGCGGCAACGATGCCGATTGGTACACCAATCTTCGACCCATCCGACTTGCCCGGATCTGGAGAATTTGCATCCACGACGGACGGTGTGGTGTGACCACCGTTGCCATCTGGGAGACCTGTGCTCGTAGGAGCAGCGACGATTGATGTCTGAAGGCTTCCATTGGCGTCCGTGAAGCTGATGGTCTGCGATGCGCCATTAAGATCCGCGGCACGTTGCGCATCGCTCGCTATCGACGTCGAAGCAGAGTCGTGGTCGTTCTGAGCGGCCACAGCGCCTTCGGAGCCAGGACTCGAGCTGCTGTTGGCCCCCGTGCCGCCGGCGTTGGAGTTTGAAGCGCTGGTGCGCGCCGTATCAGCTGGTGCCTGATCACTCGAGGCGGCAGAATTGTTGCCTTGCCTGCTGTCACTTTGGCCATTAGAGCTTGGGGCGCCGCTTCCATTGGAAGCATTGCCCGTGTCGCTAGATCCAGTCCCACTGTTGCCGGAGCTCTGCCCGCCGCTGTGGTTATTGTTGTTGTTGTTGTTGTT